TTGCTTGTCAAAATACTCCATTGGATTCTATGAGGTCTTAGATGTATCCAATTGTATACTAAGTGACATATAAATCCGAACACCCAGTTTAAATGGTTTTATTTTAATAAAAGTTGGTGAATGTATTTATCTTACTGTAAATAACAAGTGAAAAAATGTTCAGCCTTATCAATTGGACATTCCGGTTTTTATACTGCTTTTTTTTAATTCACTAACGCTCTAAAAATGAATATTTCAGCCGCAGTAAAGAATCAACGTTGGCGGATTTTGGTTCTTGACATCCTTTACGATCGGTTACGATGCCTAGAGTACGGAGACCTGTACGATTTCGTCAACTTAGTGAGTTTGATAGGGGCCGTATAGTGGGACTTCGGGAAGCTGGACTTTCTTTTCGGGCAATTGCAGTTAGAGTGCAAAGAAGTGTAGACACTGTGGTTAGGTGTTGTCAGGCATGGCTTCGAGAAGGCCGTACGCAAAGAGCAAGGGGCACTGGACGCCGCCGTAAAACAACAGACCGTGAAGATCGCCGCCTAAGATTATTGGCCTTAAGGGACCGTTTCTCCACTACCAGGTCCATTGCAAATGAATGGTTTGCAGAACACGGAAGACCTATTGGCATGCGAAGTGTTTACCGACGAATGAGAAGTTTTGGCTTGTTTTCATACCGGCCACACTGGGTCCTCCCTTTAACTCGAGAACACCGACGTAATCGCCGTGAGTGGTGCAGACAACGGTCACTCTGGGATCAGGAATGGAACAGTATTGTCTTTAGTGACGAGTCTCGATTTTGTTTAGGCATGCACGATGGTCGTGCCAGGGTTAGAAGGCGACGTGGTGAAAGGAGGAATCCCCAGTTTTTTGTTGAAAGACATGTTCATCACACTGTTGGAGTTATGGCTTGGGGTGCTATAGCTTATGGTTCCAGGTCACCTTTAACCTTCATCAGAGGTAACATGAATGCGCAGCGCTATATCCACGGAGCTCTAGAACCCAAGATCTCCCGACTTATCCCCAATTGAGCTCCTGTGGGATATGCTGGGTAGGAGATTGCTCAATTTGCAACGTCCTCCTCGGACTCTAGAAGCACTTCGAGAGGAGTTGGTGGTTGCCTGGAATGAGATACCACAGGAGGACATTGACCACCTGATCAGAAGCATGCCTAGGCGCGTTGGAGAATGCGTAGCACATCAGGGTGCAACCACACATTATTAAAGGTCAAAGGGCTTTAAAGCAGTGCAATCATTTTGAAATTTTTATCATTTACTTATTATGCTTCATTAAGTAAAATAAAACCATTTAAACTCTGTGTTCGGATTTATATGTCACTTAGTATATAATGAGACTTTACGGTTTTTGGCGAAAGCATAGTTGCTCCTAATGTTTTGAAACTCACTTGCAAATAACCCCTAATTAGCACAACCAAAGAAATGCCCCTCCAAACCCCACGTTCGCAAAAATCGCCATATAAACCTTGGCCAGTTCGCCCTTTTCTTCTTTTCATGTCCTTTTATTATTCTTATCATAGTCTCTCCTTGTTCTACTGTGTGAATTTTATAGACACTCAGGATACCTATGTTTGTTTTCTAGGATCTGTCATGATTTGGGCCTTCGTGGTGGTGCTCGTTTGTTCTATTTCTCGTTCAATATAGTTAACATCCCAGACCCTCATTTTGTTTAGCTACCATTCTAATTAGTAGACTGTCTGTTCATGTATGTTTATTTGATTTTAATAGATGCAATTGGCTTCCCTATTAGTGGTGGTGGGGAGGCTATGCCTGGCAACTAGATCACCCTGACCCTTTTTGCCAACCCCGTAGTACCAACATTGTACGACTCCACGAGCTATCAGTTGGTAATTGATACAATAAACCAGCTCTAGCGATGAGTTGTACTTAATATTGCACAGCGCCCGTGATATAGACAACACAACATCCATGGGAAGGAGTTAACTTTCGAGGCTGAGATTCGAACCCGTGACCCCCGGGTTACTAGCCCCGTCAAAAGTGCACTTTACCTAGCCTTTTTATTTTATGACACAAATCGGTATAGTTTTGTACACCATTTCCGATGTTGTCCCACATTTATTGCCCTTGACAGAGGTAAGCACAAAACTATATTGCTAATGAGGATTTATGCATTTTATATTAAAATGGGTTTTACCTATTAGATCCTCGTAAAGAAACATCTTAGCATTCCGAAAATCCGGTACTGGATTATTATACGCCAGATGTAATGAGTCATAATGATTGTGTTCGCGTGTATATTTTAATTATAGGTAACGCTATTTTTTATTCGATTGATAGTATGTTTTACAAGATAGTTTAAGATAAATGCTGGTAATTATATGTGCATCGAATACTAAGCTACACCAGCTTAAATTACAGCTTTTAGCGTATTTACAAATTACATCGCTGCGAATGGCATTCTCTTGATATACATGATACACAACACAACGTCACAAGGCCGTGTGGTGTATACAAGAGATGATTTTCAGCTCTTTTAGTACTCATCTGTTGAGGAGAGTTGTCTGTTCGCAGCTTTATACAAGTCACATGTAACACTAGGTTCAAAGTACTGTTCCCACGTCTGAAGCGTTGCTCACTGGGCGTTTCTCCATGAGTACTTTCTTGTACAGCATGTCTGTCAAATATGGATGCTACCTAGTATAAAACTAGTTCCTGATCATAGCTAGTATAGCTTTTTGAAAGTGAGTACCACTAAACCGAATTGTATACCTTAACGTAATGAAGCTTCAAATTGTATTTAAAATAAAACATGCTAGTAACGGATGATTTTTTAAGAGGTATAGGATTTGATTTTCAAAAAAAACACAAGAAATTTGGAAAAACGATTAAATCTTTATTTGAGTCGGTAGAACGGTCGATATAATTTAATGTTTAAAGATTATTTCATGTAAATGTTGGCCGCGGCTCCGCCTTAGATTGCCCATGCGCAAGGTCCAATTTTGGCACACTCTCTCCGACATATCGGCCGGTATCTCACGAATAAATGCTTAACTATTGGCTTCAAGTGCGTCAATCGTTGCTGGTTTATCCCTGTAGACATTAGCCTTAACATGGCCCCAAATAGTCCAACGGCGTTAAATCACACGATCTATCAATAGGGCCATTGTTTCGTGTGCGGTGTGGCATGTGGCACCGTCTTGTTGAAACCACGTGTCAGCCGAGTCCAGCTCTTCCATTTTGGGCAAAAAAAAGTTTGTTATCATCGCACGGTAGCGCTCGGCATTCACAGTTACGTTCCGGCCATTGTCGTTTTTGAAGAAGTGCGGCCCGATGATGCCACCGGCCCATAATCCACACCAGTGACTTTTTCGGGATGCATTGGTAGCTCTTGCAATGCTTCTGGCTGGTCTTCACTCCAGATGCGGCAATTTTGCTTGTTAACGTACCCATTCAACCAGAAATGAGCTTCGTCGCTGAACACAATTTTTCGATAAAAATGTGGATCTTCCTCCAACTTTGCCTGCGCCCATTCACCAAATTGGAAACGTTGTGGAAGGTCGTGTGGCTTCAATTCTTGCACCAGCTGTATCTTATAAGGTTTTACAGCCAAATCCTGTCGCAAAATTTTCCACCTAGTGGAGTTACAGAGGCCCAATTGCTGCGAACGGCGGCGAATCGACATTTCACGGTCATCACTAACACTGGCGGATGCAGCGGCAATATTTTCTTCAGTCCTCACTCTACGTCTGCGTGTTGGTGGTTTAATGTCCAATAATGTAAACTGGGTTCGAAATTCAGTCACGAGCTTCCGAATAGCTCACTCAGTAGGCCGACCAAATTGCCCATAAATTGGAAGCAGTGCTCGATGCACTGTCTCAACCGAGCATGAACTTTGATAGTAAAATTCAATAATTTGCAAGCGTTGTTCGTTCGTAAGTCGATTCACGGTTAAGTTATAAACCAAACTGAACAAGTTTGACAATGACACAAGACACGATTCACGCGTCATCTGTCAAAAGCAGTGTTGCGAAAAAGATACTACCAAAAAAATCACCCTATATTATACCAGGGCTATTACTGTACCATCAGGTGTATACTCGTACATACTAAATGACAGAACATGCAACACCGACTAGAAGTGCTGTAATTTTGAGCATGCTACTGATAAATAGAAAGTGATCAAAATTTTCAATAACGCTCTTGTCGCTCTGTAGTCTTTCAAGGTCATTTCATGGACACGTTAAAAAAATATGTTCCTGGTGCTCCAATGAATCAGACTTCAGGTGGCTCTATGAAGGCATTTGAATGACATTTGAGTCACTTCAAAAACAAGCGCAAAATCACTGAAAGCCTGTGTTATATAGCATATAGGATTTGTTATTGTCTCTATGAAGACTATTAAAGGTTTCTTTAAGACTCTTTCAAGGACAAATTTCAAAATTGCCAAGCAATTGTAACTCAGGCAGGCAATGGAACCAAAAACTGTATTTGGGTGGGGCGACATGATAGACAAAAACCTTTGCTTTTTCTAACGTATTCAAGTAGCTAGTATTTTAGTCATATTGTAAATCGGTGGCGTACATTAAAATGGTACTGTTGCTCACTATAACTGCTATCAAAACGTTATCAGTGGAAACATAGTCCATAAATCACAAACCGTATGTTTACATCTCATTAAGGCTCAATATTACCAACATTTTGAACTAAATCGAAGGTGTTATCGAAACCGTCATCTAGAAATTTCTGCCGATAAACACGTGCGTCGACTCTAATAGTCAGATAATCAAATTTATTGCAAAAATTTCAACCCATAAACACAGTCTATTACGCAAACACAGATTATTTACCTAATTAATTTATTGTTAGTTTTGCAATAATTTATTGCCTCGTGGAAACGGGCGCTAGCTAGTATTTCGCCTTTGCCGCAGGAAACTATCCTTGGTTTGATTTGCGTATGAGTTCAGACCATAGACGGCCTTTGCTTTCCATTTGTGGTTGGCCAACAAGTAATTATAGACGTTTACATCACCATCACTCGACTTCTTTCGAGATTTTGATCCATCAATAGATTTGTTTATGTTCCACAATTCTCAGTCCATCAGGTACAATATTTTAGCGGTTCTTGATGGGAATACGGTATCGTTAGATGTTCACATTACCAGCAATAATATGCCATTGGGTCTTTAACTGCTATCAGCAAAACGGATCGTGGAGAGAATTTGAGTTGCAAGACTACGTAGGTGAAACTTTGAAGTTCAAAGGTGCACCTACGTATAATTACAATTTCGGTTAAGAAATGGCGTCGATCCTGGAGAGAATTTGAATTGCAAGACAACGTAGGTGAACCTTTGAAGTTCAAAGATGTACCTAGGTATAATTACAATTTGGGTTAAGAAATGGCGTCGAGTGGTTTCACTCTACAATAAAAAGTATAAAGTCATATGATAACTACCAGATATTACATGTATTTTTTTTGTTCCAGCAGTATAATGGAAGATGCGACTTCATCTCCAGTCCAGACCAACCACTATGCGAATTGTCTGTCTCCATCCTCGAATGCCCCTTCTCCGTTACTGCAGCAGCAGTACCGGGACTACTATCAGGATGACATGCTCCCAGCAGCCCACGTGATCCCGCAAGTCGCACCAAAGGCTCACCAGGAGATGTGGCCGGGTGTACCCACTCCTGACAGCTATGACTACAGGCACTATGATGGAAGCAGGTAAAGAAACCAGATGTTAGACTTACTCAGCGTAATGTTATAGGTGCTGTTCTCACTAAAACCAACCCCATGACAGCCCTACCACAACACAATTTCGACTCCAGTCACGTTAGTTCTGTGTTCTCACCTGAAGCAACTTCTAAGCAAGTGAGCCCTTTTTTAAGGTTGTGGAAAGGGTCACTAAGACTCAGTTTTCCAATATACAGTTAACTTTTAAGTTGAAAAGAAGAAATTAACTATCAGGTGCTCGTAAATTCGTTTTTCGAATTCTGTCTGTGCATCAACGCCATCTACAGGTTGACTGAGAAGTTGTAATTAAACTGCATTGCCTAAGCTTTTGTGATTGACATGAGACACAAACGTCGACCGGTATAAAACGCATAGAACACGATGGTGTAGATGCAAAAGCGGAGTTGCCAGATCAGTGGTTACTTGTTGGTTAAGCAGTACTCGAAAAACGAATTTTCGGGCAACTAGTAGTCGATAACTTCGCGCGATGCCGTGTACGTGATACAGAACCGTTTAGGCTGCTATTGCAGTACATTGTATGGTAGCGGCAAAAGGATGCACTGCCACCCGGAAGACAGATGAATATAAAATATACTGTCATGGTCATTTTGACCTGTACTTTGAACCAGGCTACCAGGGTGACCGAAACGTCAGTAATGGGTAATCTTCGCATATGTGGTTTCACAAACGGGCAGAAAACATTTAGTTATATGAAACATTTTTCTCGAGTTGGTAGATATAGGAACTCCACATTGACATTTTATTCCTGTTCTGCGCCTTTATACAAAATTGTTGAACGGATCATCAGATGTTTTATACAGAATTCAATCTAATCTTTAGCCACAAGCGATGGACACAAAGGTCCTAGTTGGCTGGTGTGAGACTGTGTACTTTTCACGAGCATCTAATACGTTTTAACGTTTGTAGTGTTGCCAATAACGAGTCAGGAGTAAATCGGGTAAAACTCCATATTCAGAACTGTTTAGAAATGGTCAAAACACAAAAATGCTTATCTTGTTTTATTCTTACCTGACTTGGAATACAGTCATGGTCAATAGCAGCCATTTTGCTTGTAGCATTTTTCATGTGCGAAGTAACTTCTCTAAATAAATGCGTTGTTAGAAAGTATGAAACCGGAACGTACAAGTGACCTCAATTTGTAGTATTTTGTTACAACTCAACTAGCAAAGTAGTGCTTTAACCTTTTGGTAAAAGAACTGTTCAGCCTTAAAAGCTCTCTATTGTTGTTGCCTGAACACTAAAATGCTGGCTTAATGTTGCGTGGAGTGCAAATTTGCTTTCTGCAGCAGATTTACTCTAAAATGAGGTGTTTAAAATATTCTAATACCATAGTTATAGGACAAATTTTGAACGGTTGCATAAACGTTTATACAACTATTTTATACGGCATATTTGCGCGTTAGTAAAAATTGTTGTGTTTTGGCATCCATGGTAACGTTTATACAACAAACCCGAGCTTTACATGAACGCTCGCAGGGGGAGGCCATGGGGCCCGGAGTTGAATAGTTAGCATGGTTTTGTGCACAATTTTGAGGATTCTCAGGATTTACACTACCCCCCTCTCCCCCCTGAAAAAATTTGGAACTCCTCGTTCTTCAAAAAGTTTTGAAGGCAGGACACTATACTTTCACTAAAAGTTATCTCTTGCCGATGATCGTCGCCCCCTGAGTTAAATTAAAGATTAATATGAAACGTACCAAATAATACTGTTCAGGAACAAAAGTCACGAATTATTTACCTACTAATTATAATCGGAGGCCTGTGAGAGCATAGTAGGTTGGTATTATAGCAACAGATGTAGAAGCAGTAGACAAAGGTAATAGCTCGTAAGTATATTAATTATGCATATTTTTATTAGATCAGACATTTTCACACACTAAATACCGAAAATGGCACAATTATCTGAATTGCACCACATAATAAGCAACTAACTGTTCTGCGGTTGCAGTCAATTTTTAATTTACTTCAGTAGTCTATCCAGCGATGTTCCCACGCGATTAATATAGTTTCACTAGTAACATGGGTGTTTTCCAAATACAATCTAGATACACAATAGATTGGTTTCACACTTAGCAGCACAAATTGAGGTGCTTAGGAGTAAAGTATCCAATGTTATCTTGCTTGTGATCTCTCAAATGTTGATTATGCGATACTGCGAATTTTTTTGATACAGATTTTATCATGCTTTTAGATACTTACAGCTGCGCTTCAAATTTATTGATTGTTATTATTAATCTAGACGATGTATCTATATCTAATGATGATGTTTACATACATGTGACTCATGTGACTTTGCCAAAGATACTGTGAAATCAGTGGTGGAGCTATAAAAGCTACGGTTGCCCTTTACAGCGTGAAAACCAGCTACAGGAAAAACGACACAAGCTACTGTTCAAAGTCGCGTACTAAAATGAGAGGGATTATTATGACAGATTACGGCACAGTTAACTCGGTGTGTCTCGGTGTGGCGAATTTCGTTGTTTCACTGACCGCCACAGATGGAGAATAGAGATTTATTAACGTTTCGACTGCTTAAGTGTGTTCTAGTGGTGACACCCCAAAATCCCACAAATCTAAAATCTGCTCTGACGGCTCTTCTCCACATATTGAAACATCCACCATCGTGATGAAGCCTAAAAAAATGATGTTCAAAACATCCGTATGAAACCACAAGCACTATAGTTGGCCCTCGAGGTTGTGTGGGATTCCACCGTTTGACTCTACTTGCAGCTAGCCTCAGAGCGGGCTTACGCCTCAATAACAAAATCGTTAGACCTCGTTCCCACCCTGTTCCATCACTATGTGACCTAAAATCAACATGAGCGAGACCTGGTGGTTCAACGTTTGAACAACTTTGAACAAGACCATAAGACTCTGATAAAGTCAAAGAGGGTCTGAATCTTGCCTCCTTGAGACTTCCAACCTGGCAGCGACATAACATGCGCAATAAAGGTTCCTCTATCCTGCCGCGTATGTATCTGAAGGCCACGCGACAAGTATCAGCGACCTGAGGAAGCTTCTGTCAGTTGATAGACAAATACAACCTTCCTTGGAACTGGCCCAACTGACAATCATCACTCCTATTAGAGTTGCAAGAATGATTATACAGTATTCCTTACACAGCATTGTATACTGTAAGAACATTGGCAATACCCTCTTAGAACAGTTATACAAGCGGAATGGGCACACCTAATAGGACACTTCAGTCATTTAAGAGGTTGTATAAGGGCTGCAGGTAACAGTTATACAACAAAAGTGTAAGTCTCTTGCAGCCGCTATAGGACGTTTGCATCAGTGCAAGATTCAGTTTTTGTCAACTATACAACTATTCTGTTACGTGATTCTACTTTATTGCAACCAAACTATTTCTTATGTACTGTATAGACGAAGTGAAGAATATATAACTAACACAATACAGTCATCTTGTTTACTTACATATCGGCCATTGTGAATTTCATACACAGGTATACGATAAACTTTTACACTATGATATAGGGCTATTGAATTACTTGCATAGCAAATTTTATTGTGATTATCGTGTAAAGTAGTTACGCAATTTTTGCGGGCTTCGTATTTGATTCACATTTAGATAATGATTTTTGATTTTTTGATTTTTAATATGGAAAACTGAACTTATCTGCGTTAAATCTTCCACAAATCCTATATTTAGATACAATTACACTAATGTTTAACACTTTATATCTGTAATTTCGAACTGAAACATAATTATTTAATATCAAAGAGAGGAATAAATGTTTGCCCAATATGGCGGGTGGTTGTGTATAATCATGGCATCGTCCATGTTGTCTTTAGTTTATTAGAATATTCTGGTGTTGCCTGCAGGTGTTATACAACAATTTGACAAATGTCAGAAATGAAATACCGACAGAGTCAAATGATTTACCTAGAATTTGTACCAGATCTATATCTTTTGTTTGAACAGTTGATAAAACTTTTTTAATCAATATGCATGCGTTGTTTGTCTTAAAACATTGGTTATGGCATTCTAACAAAAATATGACAGCAGAAAGTTAGGTTATGGTGAAGTTGTATACCAACATGTTTAGCATATGTACAGCCTTTAACAGTTACTAAACAACAGTTGTATAAGTGCTTCCATTGGGAGCAATTTGTTGGCTAAAGTAGTAAATTTGCACAGCAAAACAACAAGTCTCGGGTTTGTTTTATAAACGTTACCATGGACGCCACAACACAACCATTTTGACTAACGTGCAGATATGCCATATAAAATAATTGTATAAACGTTTCTGCAACAGTTAAAAATTTGTCCTATAAAGTGTTGTATAACTATGCTATAAGAATATTTTAAACACCTCATTTTAGAGAAAATATGTTGCAGAAAGCAAATTTGCATTCCACACAACATTAAGCCAGCATTTTGGTGTTCAGGCAACAACAATAGACAGCTTTTATGGCTGAACGTTTCTTTTACCAAAAGCTTATAGCACTACTTTGCTAGTTGGGAGGTCTTGCAATGAGCTTCCGCGCCTGAAGGATGCATTCGAAGATTTCAGCAGGAAGTGAGAAGGCCCAATGTCTGAAAACAGCACACAGCCTATCTTTTTACTGCAGTTTAACATTTTATAGACGACGTAGATGTTGCAAGTGTTTCGTTTCGGACTTCCATTGTCTATAAAATTTCTGAGGTCGCAATGTTTCAACAGAGAAAACTAAATCGATAGTGATATCAGCGGAACCGAGGCGATGTATACTAGTCGTAAACAACAAAACAATAGAACAAGTCATGGAAACGGAATACTTGGGAATCAAACTGTCAAGCTATGGAAAAGTGGAAGAAGAAGTACAAAAACAAGTGAACATGGCGAACAGAATAGCAGGATGTCTCAACAATATCATCTGGAGAAAGAAATACCTCACAACGGAAACGAAAACACAGCGGAAACAAGAGCAGATACGGCGAAAACACAAAGACTATTGGAAACAGCAGAAATG